TGTAACTGTCTTAAAACTATATGGCTTGCTTAGTTGGATGATGACATCACTGAATCATCAATGAACTGACTTTAGCTGGAAAAATGAGTCTTTGTTGTTGTCCTCTTGCATCATTGACAAACTATTTTCCAATTAGACACTGTTAAGCTGCTTTGACACAATCAGTATTGTATAAAGCGCTACACAAATAAAGGTGGCTTGACTTGACTAGTGTTTTCCCGTTTTGGTATATTGACCATCCCCCGCTATTTATCACTTTTATATACAAATTCTGTTCTAGACCAAGATCTTAACATGTTCCTGAAAACTCTTCCCTTTCGGATGTTACATGCAGCAGACGTTCTTTGGTCAGTCACGAAGAAAGATTGGTTTACAAGCATTGATTTGAAAGATGCTTGCTTTTAGGTTCCGATTGCTCCTCACCACAGGAAATTTCGCTGAATCATTTTCAAGAACCAGGCCTACCAATTCAAGGTCCTACCATTCGGCCTGTCTCCGGCCTCTCGTGTCTTCACAAGGTGCATGACTGCAACTCTACATCCACTGTGGTCCAGTGGGATGCGAATCCTGCCTTATTTAGACGACTGGCTGCTGTGTGCACCCACAAAACAACAAGCTGCCCACGACACCAGACTGCTTTTGGAGCATGTGCAGAGGCTAGGTCTTGCAGTAAACGAGGCAAATGGTTGTCTGAACCCAGTGCAAACAATTACTTACATTGAAATGACACTGGACTCCCGTGTAATGTCTGCCACCCTCTCACATGCCCGAGTGGACAGTATTCTGCAGTTCCTTGCTCGTTTCCAGCTGGGTGCAAGCTTGTTGTACAAGATGTTGTTACAACTCTTGGGGATGCTGACCACCGCCGCTTCTGTGATTCCACTCGGCTTGCTCCACCTCAGGCCTCTCCAGCAGTGGAACAACAGTTTGCAGTTGAACCCTTTCAGACATCTTCATCGGCTGATGGTTGTCTCACACAGTTGTATCCAGGCATTGACACCGTGGAATCGTTGAGAGTTTCTGATGTCAGGTGTAATTCCTTCTCGTCGAGAGGTGGCCACAACCAATTCTTCCCTCTTCGGGTGGGGGGCATCATGGAATCACAGGGCTGTTTGTGGCCGTTGGTCTCCAGCTTGGTCCAGGGACCCCATCAATCTCCTGGAGTTGCGTGCAGCTTTCGTAGCCCTGCAGAATTTCTTGCCAGTTCTGGCAGGCCGTCATGTCCTCATTCGGTCCGACAACACCTCGACAGTGTTTCACCTGAACCAGGTGGAACAAAGTCCCTGCATCTCACCCACAAGATACTCTCTTGGTCTCTTCCTCGACTAGCATAACTGAGAGCAGTTCACCTGTCAAGGGGGAATGGAGGCTTCATCAGGATGTGGTGCAGAAGATATGGGAGCAGTTCGGCAAAGCAGAAGTAGATCTTTTTGCGACAGTGACTGTTCGCCTCTGTTGCAAAAAGATCTACTTCTGCTTTGAAGAGGTGAACAGTCACTTTTGCTTGTGGTTTGCAAGAACAGAGACATCCAGCCCATTGGGGCAGGATGCACTGTCTCACGAGTGGCCAAACTGTCTGCTTTATGCATTCCCTCCTCTTCCACTTCTGTGGGAAACATAGAATATCTCTGTGCAACCACAGAGTGTTACTTGTAGCACCTCGATGACCAGCCAGGCTTCGGCTTCCAATGCTTCTGTCGCTGTTGGTGGGCTTCTGCTTCGGAAGGATCTGTTGTCACAGATGGACGGCGCTGTTTGGCATCCGGATCCAGCCCGTCCGCAGCTTTGGGTTTGGCCTCTGTCTCTTAACAGATTGTGAGCCCACTGTCGTTCATACCATAACTTCTGCTAGAGCTGCATCCACACATCAGCTCTATGCAGCACAATGGAGGATTTTCTCGTCAAGGTGGAGCGTGGGTTAGATCCTACACGTTGTAACGTTCCTGGAGTTCTTAGTATCTTGCAGCATCTTTTGGATTCAGGCTAAGCAGCCTCCACGCTGAAGGTATACAGTATGTTGCAGCCATTTCTGCGCATCATGTACCTGTTAATGGTTCTTCTCTTGGTTCTCATACTCTCGTGTGCAGTTTTTTGAAAGGTGCGAGTCGGTTAAGACCAGCTGGTAACCCCCATTTTCCTGGATGGGATTTGTCACTTGTTCTTGGATTTGTCTGTCTGCCACCATTTGAGCCTTTGTAGACAGCTGACCTGAAATGGATATCTTTAGAAACTGTTTTTTTGTTGGCAATTGCTTTGCTAAGCATGTAAGTGAGTTACATGCTTTGTCCGTTAGTGAGTTAGTGATGCATGCGTTGGTTGCCGGATGATTCTGGTGTTGTGCTCCGACCAAATCCTTCCTTT